CCCAAACAGAAAAGCACCGTGGTGCTGGCCTCGCTCCGCGGCGGGTGAGTCGGTCACACGCCTGGCGGCCCAGCACGGCGAGAGCAGAGCTGGGCTGCGTCTCCAGCCTGGTCCCAAGCGGCAGTTCAGAGGCTTCTTACAGCAGACGGCACCGGTCAGCGTCATTCTCGGCAAACCGGTGGGGATGACTCCAGGCCCGAGGGTGGTCAGCCAGACCCTATGCACCGGCTGTCCTCAGGGACACCTACACCCCGAATGGCTGGGGGTGTGGCGGCTGCAAACCTCAAAGCCCCAAACCACGGTCCGTCGCGCCCACGGACAGAGCCCGGCAGGCCTGCAGGCGGCAGGGTCGCGCTGACTTGGAGAAGCCCGATTTCCAAGATGATGCTTCTCTCCCAGAGGATTCTAGGGCTCTGTGTGAAAAGCGGCTTCTCACCACAGTGGGTGGCTTCAGACATTTTCTTAGGTGATGGCAGTCGATGGCTGGGCTGGGATAACGTGGAGGTTCAAAACAAGCACAAACTGAGACAAAAGCTGTGTTCTTTAAATAACCTGTGACACCCACACACGTGTGAGTCACGGGGCGGGACGTGGGGCCGCACCCCGGCACCCGGCCGAGTCCAGAGACGTGACTTCAGAAATACTCTGTTTCTTTAAAAAGGCTTTTTATTGCGCCTAAAACGGCCCCTCCCCTTTGCAGGTCTGCTGTTAACACCTTTAAAATCTTAAAATTTCTCCTTTCTGCCCTTCTGGAAAATGTCCCTTCTGTTTGGAAGGGATAAAGGTAGCTGGTGGTCAGTTCAGCTGCAGATGGCACCCCGCAGCGCTGCGGCCACCCGGCCTCTCCGGCGGGCGCAGAACCTCTGGCCTCCCTCACACCCTGCACTTCAGAGACACCCGCTGCCCTCCCCCGGCCCTTCAGGGGGATGTAGCCCTGGGAGAAAGCCTGCAGGCATCTCCAGAGCTAGAAAAGAATTCGTGCAGCACGTGACCGGAGCGCTAGAATAAACCGCAAGCGGACGGTCCTCCAATGGGCGCTTGGGAAGAAAGTGCTCGGCCAGACCTGGGGTAACACTGTCGGGGGAGAGAGCTGGGGGACATGTTGCAGCTGGCGGATTTTGGAAGCTTCTCTGTCATCTCCAGCGCCTTTCCGGGAACCGCGGCAGCAGCGTGTGCTTCGAGGGATGCAGAGGTGCGGACAGACTGGCCGGCACGGCCGGGAGCGGCCCGCAGCGAGGGGCGGATGGCAGTATCGGAGCTCCTGGCCGCGAGGAGCGCTGTGGCCGCAGCCCTGACCACGCTTCACGGAAGCCTGCCTCGGTCGGCATTCAGCAGGAGGGAGGCAGCTCTCCCGGGGCCTGGCCAGCCGCCGTGGCATTTAACAGCTGGAGAGGGTCAGGGAAAAGGCCACACAGGAGAGAGAGGAAGAGCCTGTCCGGCTTTAATGGAAAGTCAGATTAAAAGTTGGGGTTAAAGATAAAATCTAGGGCACCCTCCCCGCTCCCTTTTTCAGAGGATAGAAATGGAGGCCCGGCCTCCTGAGAAAGCAGAAGTGAAGACGCCGGGCTGTGAGGCGGCCAGCGGCCAGCGGCCCAGCTCCGAACTTCCACAGGAGAGACGGCCGCGGGTGGACAGTGAAGCGGACAGGCTCTTTGTTCCTCTGTAGTGGGAGTGAAAGTTCACGGTGAGGCACGCTGTGGTTCCAGGCCTGCGGACTCTGGGATGCCCTGCCCTCGAGGGCTGCCAGGCGCCTTCTCTCCACACGGGCCCCCCTCGGAGGCAGCTGGCTCAGGTGGTCCCGGCCCAGGGATGACTCTGTGCTGATGCTGTGGTGGACAAGCCGAGCTCTCCCCTCGACGCTCTCGGACGGTGGTGCGGACGCAGCCGGCCTCCGGTTGAACCGGGAGAAGTGAGGAGCTTGTTTCAAGGAGCTAGCTACATGGTGCTAATCTCTGTCTCCCCACGATGATCTGGGGCTGGGGAGGTTCCCACCGCCCTCGGGGAGACGGGCTGGAGCCGCTCAGCTTGTGAGAGGCCAGCCGAGGCCCAGCACCAGCGTGTTTCCATCTGGCCGGATCTGCGGCCGGGCCGAGGGAAGACTCGTCAGCCAGACGGATCCCAAGCATGGTCTTCGCTTGTCTGAAAGAGGACGCACCCCAAAGTTTTCTTTAATAAATGCGTCATGGAAGTGAAACCCTGGTACCAACGCTGAGAAACAGGAAGGGTAGTGCTCAGCCAGGATTCCAGCAGAGAGAGCGGGCGAGCGGCCACACAGGGTTAAGAGGCATCTGGACAGTGGCTGGTGCAGGCCGGGGCTGGGGCGGGAGGGAGAGTGGGGGGCGGGAAGGGACGAGGGGGTGGGCGCAGCACACGAGGGGACGGAAGAGCGGGAGCACGGGCCCAGCAGCACCCCGGGGCCGCCCAGCAGTAACCAACACCACGGGGAGACTAATAAATAGACTGCTGTAACGAGCGTCGGTCAGTGGACGGGAGCAGGGATGCCGCGGTCAGGCGACACGGGACCCCGGGGTCAGTGTCTGTAGTAAAGGTAAAAAAATGAAGTTGCTTCTTTTCAAGTATTAAAAAAATAAGTTAATTGACAAAAAGGGTCTGGAGCGGCTGAGCGCCTTGCCAGGTTTCGGCTTCATCTCAGTGTGCAAACACAGGGAAACGCCAAGGAAGAGACAGCCTCGGCCTCGAGAGGCCCCGGGCGGGGGCCACGCCTGCCTGTCCGCTGGGGCTGGAAGCGCAGGCCTCGCCCCGCCCCCAGTCAGGACTTTCCAGTGTCGAAATGGCTGCGAAAAGCAACATTCGGCAGTCCGCAGACCCGGGCCTCGGCGGGCATCTGGCCACTGGGGTCCGGCGGGCGGCGTGGGGGTGGGCAGACCCCCCTGGGTCTGCTCACTTGCGTCCTGGATGTGGACCCAGCGCGTCCTCAGCTTCCTGCAGGGCGGGGCCGGGCGAGGCCCCAGCGCCACAGTCCTGCCCCCCATCTTGCTTTCCCGGCGTCTCCTTGTTTCTTTGGTGGTGCTTCAGGGGAGCATGGAGACCACAGTCCCTTCCGCTCTGTGGGGCGCTGGCAGCTGTGTTTGGACAGGGAGGGGCAGCGTCTTTCTCCCGTCTTCGTCTCACGCTCGCGAGCGGAAGGGGGCGCCCCTCAGCACCCCTCGGAGCGTGCAGGCTTTTCTCTCCTCACGTCAGAGCCAAACGCTGCATGTTCCTCTCTCCAGAGCGGGCAGTCACCAGGGGGCTCTCCCAGGAGGCCGGTCCACCCCCGACAACCATCTTCGCCGGGGGCCCCGCAGCGGCGACGCCCGACTTGCTTTCCAGAGGCAGGTGGACATTTGCGTGCAAACTGCCAGGAGGCACCAGGCCTGCTCAGATCCTGGATCTGGGGTTGGAGAGAACCCAGCCCGGCGCGGGCAGCCGCCACAGACCAGCCAGCCAGCCAGGTGTGCCAGGAGCTCAGGACCAGTTCAGGCTGAAGCCCTTGGACAGCATGACGGCCTCCAGGTCCTTGTCCTCCTCCTTCTCCCGGAGCCGCTGCTCCTCCAGGAGGGCCACGAGGGCGTCTCTCTGCTCCACCACATCCAGCATCTCATTCAGGATCTTCTTCTCCTCAGACAGCTCCTCCTCGGTCTTCAGGTGATCTGGGCAGTGGCCAGAGACATCAGGGCTGGAGCGTCAGGGGGCAGCAGGCGGTGCCCAGCACCCCCTGCGCACCCCACCGCTCCCCTCACCTTCCACTGCCATCCGCTCCCGGAGTTCCTGCTGCAGGCGGCTCTGCCGGTCTTCGAGCTCCAGCTCCCGGGCACTGGATTGGAGGGGGTCGGAGGGAAACAAGCAACAGTGACTGGGGGCGAGGGGGGCGACCCGCCTCACCCCCCCCAGGAGGAAGGAGCTGTGTTCCCATAGCGCCAGGCTGAGCTGATACCCGCCTTTGCTGCGCCCCCCGTCTACAGCCACTTACAAAATCATCAGCTCCGACTCGTAGCGCACCATGGCGTTCTTCTCCTGCACCAGCTTGAACCACTCCTGCATCAGCTTGGGGTCATCCTTCTTGCCCATGCCTGCCGAGAGAGCACGCGTGTCAGGCCGGGCAGCGCCCGCCGTCTCCCGCCGGCCGGTAGGAGTCACTACCCTGGGCAGATGTGCAAAGAGCCGAGCAAGATGCTGCTGGAACACTCCCAAGCCAGGTCCGAGTTTGCCTACAGCGGGAGGTGGGACCCGCACCTACCCCGGGGGGAGGGGGGGGGCGTCTGTGCTTCCCTCTGCCCTGCCTCCACCTGGCCCTCACCTCCCTCGGTCACTGCAGGTGGCCCGCTTGGCCGGCTCCTGCCCAGGGGTTTCCTTTCGCTATGTTTTAAGTGCTCTGTCCCCTTTTTCCTCCTTTTCCCTCATCTCATGTTCATCGGACACTTGCTGTCCACTAGGTCTTCGAGGAAACCAGTCAATGAACGTGGCCGGTGTGAGTGATACAAGACCCTGTGCTGTGCTCCTAAGTCCCACTCGCCAACCCAGCTCCTTCCTGGGCCACCCGGTCAGGGCGCCGCCTGTTCTCAACCTGTGGCCGGTCTGCTGACGCGGCCGACAGATGTCCCGCCCATGAGGGCTGCGCAGGGTACCAGCCCACGCCAGGCGGGTCTCTCCCCAAACAGAGACAGACCAGCAGACCCTCGGGGCCGAGCAGGGGCCCGACCCTGCGCTGACCCCATCGGGGCCGGAGTGCCTGCTATCTCCCGGGCCCTGACCCCGCTGGGCGTGGCTGTTTTTCCCACAGGAAGGTGGATGGAGGAACTTCCCAAGGAATCAAGCCACCCAGGAGGGAACAAACTCCTTTTCCGTGGAGCACAAAGAAGCTCACGGCAAAGGCGTGGGTCTGCCCGAAGGAACAGAGACTACGTTAGTGGTACCCTGAGATTTCTGACTTCCAGGCCATGTTGAGGATCTTGGGGGAGCTAGGGGCTCTCCTCCTAGAAAAATGCACATACATCATGTGTACATTTCCAGCGATTTTTTCCAGAGCTTCAGGTGTTCACAGGCTCCCTGAGGTCCAGTCCCGGGCCCCAGGCTAAGAGGCACCGGGCTTTGAAGCCTCTCAAAGTCATTTATGAGTGACCTGGTTGGATGTTCCGACCCAGGGGTGGCCAAGCCCGGAAGCACACAGATCTCAAACATGAGCTCCGGCTGCTGTTCCCTGCTCTCCTCTGCCGACTTCCTCGCACCCTGTTGACTGCGCCCCGACTGCAGTGACCGGCTGACACGCACGGGGCCCACGCCAGTTAGTCTCAGCAGGGCACGCCCCGGCGAGGCAGAAACGGTGCGTCCACACAAGCGGGGATTAGTGCCTGCACATGCCCGGCCCACATGCAGCCGTGAGCCCGAGGGGCCTGTCCCTCAGCCTACTCTGAGCGCTGCTGGCCAGTGACCCGCGGCTGAGGACCGCGGGCCGGAGTGTCTGGGGACTGCTCTCCTCTCCCAACCCAATGGACTTGGTGCTTCGGCTTTGAAGCAGCCCGAGGCTCCGTTCCAGGCACTCCTTTCTGAGTGTCTCTGCACAGTGCGCCCACATGGCCGGGGGTGGGGCCCTGAGCATGCAAGCGGTCAGTGCGGCCAGCCCCACGGACAGGGGTGGGCACCCTCCTTCCCGCCTCCCCACCGGGAGACGTCCGCGCTCCCCCCCACCCGTGAGCTCTGGCGAGGTTGTTCACAGCCCGTGAGCAGAGGTGTGTGGTGGGGGGAGAAGTCAATGTGAGAGCCATGGAGAGCGGAGAAGAGGTTAGGAGGGTTAGTCATGACCACACTCCCCTGCCCTTCCCACATGCCTTTCAATGACAATCTTGTCACCACAACAGAATTCAAATCAGACAAACTTAAAAAAAACACGCGCACACACACACGCACACTCGGCAAGACACGGGGACAGAAGTTTGCTCTTAGCGGCTGGTTGGAGAAAGAACTCGGGGCCCTGGTGCAGACCCGTCTCTGAAGGACAGTATTCCTCGACTCCAACGTACCAATGGCGGCCTGGACGCCTGGCCCCGCTAGCTGCTGGGTTCGGGACGAAGGGCCCGCCCTTGAAGGGTGCCCAGCCCTCCCCCAAGACGGTCAAAGGGATACTGTACCTTGTGAGAAACTACCACATACGCAGGGGGTTTTGTAAAAGGGCGAACAGGTGTCAGAGAAAGAGAAACAGCCGGGCTTCGGTCCCTGCAACTACAGTTGCTCTGACCCCTGCGAGGAGTGGGGTGGGGGGAGGTTACGTTACCTTCCTGGACACAGCAGGGGCAGAAGGACAGAGGTCTACGCCGAGGAGTCCCGCCACTGGGCTCAACTTCAAAAAGGACCAACAAAGGAGGGAGAGGAGGAGGAGGAGGCGGAGGAAGACAAAAAGGAAGAGGAAGAGGAGGAGGAGGAATTTGGAAGTGGAGAGGGACAGGGAGGTGAAATAAAAAACAAGCAGAGGACAAAAAGCATAAAAAGTGAGAAAGGAACACCAGGAGGAAAGAAAAAAAAAATACAAGAAATGGAAAAGCAGAAACAGGGGAACAAAATCTACAAATGAATTCAGTCTCCTGGCAGCGTGGACACTGAGCAGAGCCGCCTGCCCGCTCCACGCCGGGGCACCCGGCTCCTGCCGCCTCCCGTCCCCGCAGGGAGGGCGGCCACCTTGGGGTGTTAGCAGAGGGTGACCGTGTGGGCGCCTTCCTCAGATGGCCCAGAGGCCCCGGCCGGGTCTGCCTGCTCGCGTGCCAGAGACCACACTGAACGCGCAGCCAGTGATGCTGGAGCCGTGCAAGGGAACACCTGGGGTGACCAGCCCACCCGTGTGCTCGAGGGGATGCCAACGGTGGCAGGGCTGAGGGCTGAGGGGGCGCTGCGGCCCCCGCCAGGCCCCCAGGAAGCAGGTGGGCCCGTACGGAGGCTGCGCCTGGCCTGGTGACTGACTCAGAGCCAGAGGTGTTGGGGGAAGCGCTCGTCTGCACAGAGGCCACTTCCACCAGTCGGTGTCAACCCCGCTCCAGGCCAGGCCAGGGAGGGCCAACCACCCCCTTTCTTGCCCGCCCCTCCGGCCCCAAGAGGGATTAATGCCGCGGGGGTGGGGAGGGGGGCTGGGGGTGCTGCTGGCACACTTTGGACTGTGAGACCGAAAGGGGTGAACTGACAGGACATGCCGAGAGCTTGGTGACAAGGCCGTGAGGCTGTGGACGGGGCTGCGGGAGGACACGGGGGGGGGCAGAGACACTCTCCGAGACTTCGGGACGCCTGACGGGGACTCCGGGGAGAGGGAGGGGCTCAGCAAGGGACCATCACAGAACCACAGGGCACACAGCACACAGAGCCCGGGCACCGCCTCAGAGGTGGCAGTCAGGCGGTTTTCCAATCAGCGGGGTTGCGGACAGAACCTGGTTTTGGTCAACAGAAGGGCCGACAGACAAGCCGTCGGCTGCCAGGTCCCTGGACGGCGTGACTGAGTGGAGGCAGGGCCTCCGCGTCCTTTCTTTCAAGTCCGGCACAGAGCTCCCAGGTGCTCTGTGCCTCTGGGCCAGGGGGACGGGGCTGTGTGCCTGGGAAAATCCACCCAGCGCCCTGATTGACGGGACTGTGGCCAGCTAGTGTGCAGGGCTAGAGACAGAGGCCCCTTTCCTAGGGGAAAAAGCCCAAGCAAACAAGTGGACCGTACGGCTACATTTAATGCTCTTTGGTTCAAAGTGCTGAGTGTACTTGGTGCTTGGGAAGCCAGGAGAACTCCCCCAAAGTGCAGGGGGAGCGCACAGCCGCTCCCAGCCACGGGACGTGTCACATGCACACAGGCGTGGTGAAAGTGGATGGCGTCCAGCTCGGTCAAAGGGACCGGGCACAGTACACATCCCCGATAAAGCAGCATGCGCAGCACAGTGTCACCAGTGTGTCTGCTCTGGCAGCAGGACAGACGGGGCTCCGTGTGGGCCACCTCCTCATACACACGCTCGAACACAGACGACAGGTTCAGAACAGAGCAGTCAGGACAGAACAGGGAAAGGAGGGCAGGAAGCCCACCCCTCGGCACAGAGCGCTCAGGACTTTCTCCTCGACTGTCCTGCAGGCGCCAGAAAGTCCTTCAGGGCAACACCCAATAATGTCACTTTACAAACAGGCAGCAGAGGGGGGCGACAGTCAGACAAGGGGAGTTCCAGCCCAGACCTGAACTGAGCAGGGGAGGGAAGCCCGGAGGTGCGGACTTTGAGTATAACTTCCTTGCCTTTTATGAAGAGGGGAGAAACATGATGAGGTTCACTAGACCTAAGGGCAGAGAGGCTGTGAGCTCACAGTACATCGAGGGTTTTTCTTTAATCTCCAGGACAAAGTGTCTCCTTCTAACGGGCATGCAGTGCGCTTATCACTTCTCTACTTCTGCATCCCCTGGGCTCCTTGGCGCTGAGCTTCCCCAGAATTTGGTCCTGGGCAGGAAGAGGCTTGTTCCCGCAGGTCTCACCCTCATCCTGCCTCCCCTGCAGCTCACCTGCACCGGCCCAGCACCTTGGCAGTAAACAGTCTCTGAAGTAGCCAGCCGCTGTCCGCTAGCCCTCACTCACCTGGACAGCTGGAGGCAGGTGATGTGTGTCCCTGCCTTTGAAGAGCAGCCAGCTACGGCCCTATAGTAAGGCGCGTCTCACCACACCCCAGGGAGATGCGTGCCTTAGGACACCCAGGGGCCTTCCATCTCTGAAGCACACGCTCGCAGCACCTCATCTGATCCCAGCGGCGGCCTGGCACGGCGCCCCCAGACCTGAGCAGCTATACTTTCAGAGGGATCCGAGGCACAGGAAGCTGAATGTGCCACAGTCTGACTAAAACACAGCTCTGCCTTCCCCATTCTGCGCTGAGGGCTGTCCTCTTGAAGGGCCAACAAAGCCACCGGCAAATCTGACAGCGGGACCCGCCGGGAGTGGCTCGAACACAACCCCGTGTCCTCGTGTGACCCTCCCAGACTCGTGTGGAGACCCGACGGGACAAGCTCCCTGGCTGAGACAGCAGAGACCTGCTCTTGCCAACATGGCGGGGGTTCTCCTCCCGCCCCCGATGGTGC